TAATAATAATAATAATATTAACAACGACGTAGATATTATGTACAAATAAGTCACGAATCGATTTTTACATTCCGATTGTGCCTGTTTACGTATAACATGTATTATAATATTATAATATATCATTATATATTATTATATATTATAATAACGACGTGGGCTACGACGATAATATTATGATGGCGAGGATATGGCAAAGAAACCACGATCGTTTCGCGCAAAAACGGCTTTGGACGAACGAAATAGTAATTTATAGCCGCTTAAAGGAAACACTACCACTGTACCATTACTATTACAACTATTACTATACTATAGGCAGCGGAGAGGTGAAAACTTGGTCTGTCCCAGAGCGAGCACTTTTTTTTCCTTATCAGATACTGCCGGGGATTGACGGATTGCAGTCGCACAGACCCTTCGGGGTCGAGGTCCATTTTTCTTGTCCCCAAACACGAGAAGGGACCACCTCTAGCGACAAGATATATTGTTGTCCCTATACATATACCTATATATATATATATATATATATATATTTATTCCTTGTCCACGCCACCACCGCCATTATTGTATTTCCCAATTCCCGCGTACATACAACATATATACTATATGTGTATAACATATTGTGTGGACGCGATTGTTCGCCTCACCGGATAAATTTCCGTGTAGACCGCTATTGCAATATAGCAGAATATAGAATTTATAAGATATAACCGCATAATAGTATAGAAATACGCGTATATTATAATATGCGCGACGATGACTGCCGCTACAGCTGCAGTTCTTTGCAGTCGTTGTTAAAAACGTCAATTTAAAAGGTAGATATGTATATATATATATTATATATATATAACCTAAAAGCGTACGACGCGACGTCATGTTAACAGCGTTAAATGAAATGAAAAACAACAGACCGGGAATATATTATTAATAATAAAAAACGGCGTTGCCCCGAGGACGAGACACTAAAAGCTTTTGTGTCGTCTGTCCTCCGTTTTGTCCACTGTATATAATAATAATAAAAATAATAATAATGTATAATATATATTGCATGATACGTTATATACACGAATATAGTATTATACATTTATACACATAGTACTGCAATCGTATATACTATATATATATCCGAACAAAAACCAGAAAGCGACATGTACACAACACAACGTTTCACACACGAGAGCATCGCCGCCGACGCCACCGCCGAGTGACGGGGCGCGAAATGCTCTTGGGAATAGAAATGATTAGGACCTCGACGGCGGAAAAGTGGAAAGCCGTGTAATCCCCCGACGACTGATTTTTTTGAATTGCAATTTAATTGGCCTGCTATATATACGGACCACGACCGGGCACGAAATCAGCGTCGGTGCATGGCCATCATTCATAATAATGATAATAATAAAGTAATAATAATAATAATAATAATAATAATAATAACGGAGATGATGACGATATAATCAGTATAAAAGTCAGTATTATAATAATGTCATTTTCCTCCTTGATGGCCTCGCGTATCGCGCTACGACGGTGGTTGCATGCAGGCGAAGACCCCGACGACGCAGAAATATCATCGCCAAAACGAACGTTTCTAAATAGTCGTCGCGGTTATAAACCAGCGAGTAAAAGTTTCCCCCTCGATTTCGCGAAGCACCCCGTGCGCAAACACGGTAATGGATATTAACAGAGATTACTCTTAACACCACCCCACTGCAGCCTGCAGATATATCCAAGATGTCCTTGCACTGCAGTACAGCACTGTCCCTCAATCCTCGCCGCCCCTCATATACACTATTATAGATATCGCTGCCTAATATTCTTTTCGGCTTCTATGCTTTAACCGTATATAATATACGACTACTCCTATTACCGCCGCCGCTGCTGCTGCTGCTACCCTCGGTTGAGATTATATTCACTTTCGTATTATATATATTAGATCGTATATCGTAAAATTATTATGTACCAAATGATGCGTACGTTCGGTACTCGGTTAAAGCTTTCGAAAAGTTTCGAGAACGTTTTTTTTTTTTTTTGCGAGATGTGGCACGACAAAAAATGTTTTAAATATATATATATATATATATAAACATATATGATGATGATGATGCGTCCAAATTACGCGAAAAGAGTTTGTGAGCTATGTACCGAAATAAAAGGGGTCGAAGCATTTTCAAAACGTCCGAGGAAATGTTATCGTGTCGGGAGTGAACGACTATATATAAGCTAGCAGGGTTGATGAGGCGGAACAGCACTGTTTGGTGGTTTTTATATCCGGTACGCATTTATTTCTTTTCTTCGTAAAACGTATAAAATAATGTCGGTCGTAATACATATATATATAAATATATGAGGGGTGGAAAAACTTGGACGGGAGGTCGGACCAACGAGACTTGTCTTGTTAAAGCTTTCGGGAGATTTCTTTTTCGAATACTACCGGAAATATAGAATCGAGGCCCTTTTATACTGAACACAGTACACAGCTAAGGGGTCAGAGTATATTATAATTTTTATACTATGATCGACTTCTATGTAACGCTCGAGTTTACAAGTTATACGCATTATATACATTATACATGTGTGCAGAAACTACGAAAGGTCTTTTTTTTCATTCTTATTTACAATTTATTCCGCACACCATCGAGTAACTTGGTAAATTCGAAATCCGTTCGTTGGCCAATGTAAAAAAAAACACGCATACGATACGACGCGTATACTATAATATATATTATACATAATACGACCTAACTATGCATATTATATATGCAAAAGCGCGCCACATGAAGTCTCGCGATGACATTCGTCTATATATATACATAATAGCTATGAGGTCCCTATATATGTCATGGCGAGACCCTTTTCTCTGCTGTGATTTAACGTCAATGATTCGGGATTAAAACAGATATAATGTACAGTGCTATAGTATAATAACGGACGCGCGAGTGGTCGGTTTATAGTTTGTTTGACCGTAACTGTTTCCCGGTGGTTGCACGCTGCACATTCACGTATACATACGCACACGGGGACGGAGACCGCCGAGTGCAGCTATGCGGGGGCAAATAAAAACAAAAGTGTCGTATAAAGGCAATTTGCTGCTAATAAAATTAAAACGATCGTGCGCGCCGTGGTGAGAGGAGACGACAATCATCAAAAAAAGGGTCTAGATGACTTGCAGTAAAAATAAAATTTCCATTAAACGGGAATAAAACGGTAACCGGCTCGGCGCGCGAGAGAGGGTGCACGAAAATCAAGCATGTCGTAACAAGTTTATCGCGCCATAAAACCCCTCGAAATTGCCAGTCAAAAGTTGTGTGCCACCGTCTCGGAATAGCCGTAAAACCCTACGGCAAATGGGGGGTATAAGGCAGGGGGGAGAGAGAAAATGCGCGCGCGCGAGAGAGAGGAAAAGAAACCTGGGCTGGAAAATTCGCGTAATTGGACCTGAGGTGCATCGCGGAAAACATTACAATTTGCCGCCACCGCCGCGCGTTTACGACCCCCCGCGAATAGTCGTTCTGCTTTACGACGACGACGGTCCTTCTATATATATATATATATATATGTATGTATATACATATACACGGCCTCACTGCCACCTGATTCAAACGATTTACCGCGTATCTTGTGAACAACAACGACGACGACGACTATACGACTATATCGCGACGGGGGAAAACAAAAAAAAAAAATCCGAAACAAAAACTTTTGCGGAATAACAATTACGACGTTTTTGCGCGGCGCCGCAAACAACATTATTACAATAATATATACACGACGATAATAATATTATAATAAATGGTTATGAGATATATATATATAGGTACAACCATCGTAATAATATCTAAGTACACATATTATATCACATAATTTTATTGTTTCGAGACTTACCGGCACGGTTAGACTGATCGATCATAGGTTGCACTATTCTCCGTCGAGCGTTTATAAACCTGCAAAAACAAACAAACAATCGTATTAGAAACGTAATTAATGTAAATAGTACAAATAATATAATATTAGATAATATATTGATTGGGATTAAAACATCACAGCTCCGAGCTACGTTTATCGGTAGTTTTCAAAGCACAAAAAATTACGTTTTATTGATATCAATACGGTTTCAATCGTTAGTAGATATTATATACGTATATTATATTATATAGTTTAGGAAAATCTTTTGTAGACTCCCAATATCGATTACCGCCATTCGAAAACACGTCGCGGCGAAGGCGTAATTCAATACACAAATAATATTGTGTAGTTCGGTCGATAACTCGACGTCGCTTGTCTCGAGTTACGCTCGTATCCATAATACATTAATACACTATTGCGCTGCATTATTGCGCATATAATTCTGAACCGATGAATTGGTTTTTGTTTAATACTTAGGCGCTGGTTATTAAATTTAGAAAGCGCGAGCCTGCATGTGTTGGCGACGCATACCTACGCTACGCAGCCGCCTCCGCGGAAGAAAACCCGAAAATAAGGGTCGAAATAATATGCGTTTAAATGTATTTTTGCCGATTAGAGACGTTGTAAATAGCATTTATGGACGGGAGATGGGTGGGGGTGTGCACCAGTAGGAGAAGTCGTTACAAACACCCGGTGCACATAACTCGATAGTTCTGACCTAACAACCCCGACCTGACATATGACCCGACCCCCATCAACGCGCCCGTAACAGCTGTTCGCTTGACGCCTAATTTTCCGGCCCTTTTTATATCTTTAATATTTCGATTCGCATATGAAACATATATATATGTATATAGTAGACTGTATTCGAGGGCCCCACTGAGCGCAGCCAACACAACCTGCAGAGTAACTTTGGGCGACCGGCACTTCCTCACGTTTATAGTCAAGACTGAGTCTTATTAATATAATATATTGAAACAATTGGCGAGGGCGACCGGAGAAATGAAGTCCTGCGACGCGATCGCTCGTCGTTATTCAGCGCGCGAGCTTAAGCAGGGAAACGCACATAAATCTCCGGGACGCGAATTCTATACCGGTGTTCAGTGTTTATATATATATAGACGAGAGAGAAATCCGATCGTCCTCTTATCGTGTTAATTCGTCGGACAAGTCGATGTCTTTTTAATCCTCGCCCACGACAACTACGTCGCTGCAGGAGCACCAGCTATTCGCTCTCCTGTCTCATAATATATATAGCCTCGCATTAAGGGTGTTGAAAAAAAAACTTTGTCATTAGCAGGGCAAAAGTATTCGTCCAACTCCATTATCACGCGTTTTGCATTAATTGCAAAATCAATAGTCTCCTCTCCCTCTTATTTGGTTCTCTTATCAGATTAAAAAAAAAAAATAATAATAATAATCTCGGAAGTGCAAGCGTATTCCTAGCAAAAAGCGCAACTCATATACTCTCATTTTGAACTGAAACTGAACGTCATTGCGGTTTTTTATGCTTATAAAAATATATACAATTACCTAAATTGTCAGCTCTACTGTACGAATAATGTTGCCTACTTGATTATCAATCATTTGAATACTCATAAATTTTGTTTTACGTTAGAGTAATATACGAATTGTATAATAATATAAAGCTACATAAAATAATATTAGTAAACAAATAAATCGAATTGTACTATAACACTTCTCTCAAAAGTATATTTTCCCGCAGAGACGCTAAATTAATTCTACGCTATTTTACACCATATATATGGTAGTTTTTTTTTGTTTTGAATAAGTAAGTTATTTAAAGCGTGTCTCGGGCGATTACTGTACCTACAATTATTAATGATCATTGTCATTGAGAATTCGACATAAGCGCTAACCTAATCGCTGTTTTTAAATTACAATATTTACATTTTAATTACATTAGTTGGGTTACACGAACGAACTGATGAATTAATTTTCACCATTTATATATGTGTGTACAATAATAATAAAAATGTATATTTATTATTTTACGTGGATAAATAATTTTAAACAACTCGAGTAAAAGTGGTTGTCGATGGTTAAAAACACAATTCGCGATGTAATTATAGTGTTTATAAAAAAAAAAAAACAACAATAATTATATAGTAAATAGTGAAATAATAGCAATAGTAAACTGTATTAATAATAATGATAATAATATACTACTGCCTTATAGATATTAAACACACACATATTTTTTTTAACACCACGCTGCAGGTCTCATAACATATATTTTAGAGAAACATATTTTTTACGCGTCGATACATACTTAAAGGTAAATAATAAATAACGTGAATAGACAATATGGGAATAGTTTTTATGCCCATTTTCTCACGTAATCAATAGTTCATTTGAAAGAGTGAGTGTATGGGTGTGTGTGTGTGTGTGTGTGTGTGTGTGTGTGTGTGTGTATAATACAAGAAGGAAAAATTGATTTCGTGCCACACGCGATTTCTGTAATATGGTTAACTCGACGTTGTATATACAGGTATTATATTGTAATATACTAACGACAACAGCGGGTCATGTATTTGATTAATGATTCTCACAGTAACTATACGTATATACAAATAAACACGTACGGGTAGGAATATTATTTTTGATACGATCATAATTTTCGTCCTATAGTCTCGCGCACATCATTTATTTTATTCGTGCGTATAGACATATACGTATAATATACAATTATTTAAGGTCTCGAGTAAAATATCGCAGTACCTCCTCATTAGTGCACATGTATATTTTGTAAATTATATATATATATATATATGTATAGATTCCGCCGCAGGTACGCGCATTTTAATTGGTTGTCGTATTCACGAAATTATAACGTAATAATTTAAAAACCAACGCAGGTACTTGATTTTTTTTTTTTTTCGTGCAGTTTAGTTCGAACGTCTGGTCCTGTATATTATATACACCAGTGTACCATACACACCACACATACAGCTAATGAAAACGCGAAATTGAATACTCGACAACGCGCGTGCATAAATATGTGTATAGTGTATACACAGACACTATATACACTGCAGGTACTTGTATATTATACATGATAATGTTGTGTGTATGGGTATAATTATGCACGCGTTGATAACTGGCACGACCGCGTTGTATACGGCGTACCTATACCTATGTATTTGACTAATGTCGTATTATTACAGATGGGCGGTTGTCGGAAATCGACAATGTGTGAAATAATATAATATTAAACATATTATAATGTGTACCTTTCACACGGCCAGCGTACACATTATAATATACATAATGTCTAAGGGAGAACGTTCGTCGCACGCATATGCTGGCGCTCGCACGCACACTGCACACGACCGCGGGCGCGTCTCGAACGCATTGTCGGTTATATATACGAGATTAGCGTTTAGGCCTCGGTATATCTTAGACAGAAATTGGAAAATAAATCCAGCCATAAACAAGAGGGTAATCTCCGGGTCTCAACTCGACTCCGACCGGCCAGATATGGAAAACGACATCCCTCTCCACCCCACTAACCGTCGTCCCCCGTCCGAAACGACCATATACCGCCCTCCGACCACCCCACACTGCGCCGGCCCTCGTTTATCCGGGTGGACAAATTTTACGGCCATTCAAACAACCAAGAATGGTCTTTTTCGGTGGACGGGGTGGGTAGCGCGGCACGGCGCGGTGAATCGGTCCCCGCTCCCGCGGTGAGCCTTTTATGCGAACCCATCACACACAAAAGCTTGACCGCCGTCCGCCGCCGCCGCCGCCGCCACCTCCGGCGGCCCTTTTTCCACCGTTCCGTTGTTATTGTAGAGAAAGATTCTATCTCGGCCGCAATGTGTCCAGGAATGTTCCCATATCTCCTCCGACCTCATATATATATACACGAGTATACCTCGTGTCCCGGTTTTACTCGGTTGCGTCGTTGTATATACAAGTGTGTGCGTGTGTGAGTGCGTGTGCGGAGGGCGAAATAGCTCATTCTTTACTCCCCCGGAACAATATCACCGCGCCGTTCGACGAGAATGAAAAATGTGGTTAATATCGTTCGGGCTGCAGCTGCAGCGCAGTGCAGCAGCAGTAGTATAAGGTGGTTTTCCGCGATTTATAATCTCCGCGCGGATTGAGCCCGGTTTCTTATGATATCACGCCGCGGGGGTATAGCGCACACACGCCGATATTGGATTATTTTTATTAGAAATTCCGAAATCGTGTCAAGTCATATTATTATTATTATTATTATTATTATGTCGACATCGCTCAGGTATATATAAACGCTCTTAAATATTATATTGTGTACGCCGCGACGGCCTCGCGAGTATACAATAATAATGCATATTATTCACCACCCCGCGGCACTGCACAAAAGCCACTGAACAATATACCATATATACATGTATATGGAATATACCGACAACGGCCGAATCGTTTTGATTCGCTTATCGTTTGAATATATAAATATAAATATCGTTGTAATATAAGTGTGTGTGTGTGTGTGTGTGTGTGTGGTGCAATTTTACTTGTTACACGCATATATATAATAACATAAAGTCACACACGATAATAACCTTTTATGTTATAATTATTCTAATATTGTGGCCACTACTGAATGCCCTTGAGGGACTTATCCCAAAGTCCCGTGTTCGCGGGGAGCACGCATGTGTTTCAAGTGGCTGGTGCGCGCGTATTATACAAGGGTGACGGCGGACGGCGGTGGCGGTGCCGAACAAGAGGGGGATCTTGAAAAAAGTTAATTTACGACAATTACATCTGGACACCCTCTTGAGTTTTCCGAAAGCAATTTCGCGCAGAACGAAATTAGGGACCGCGGCCGCGTGATCTGGTGCGCCGGCAAGGGGAGAACGAATACAAGCATCGCAACCCTTGCTGTGTATGTGCAGCGCCGCGCGGTGCACGCCGGCATTCGTCGGCTAGTAACACACGGTTTTGTGATCATTAGCAAAGATCATTGTTGTGTTTCGAGCGCACAAACATCGCGCCGTGCGTGTGTGTGTGTGTGTGTGTGTGTGTG